TGCAGGCTCTGAAGCCCAGGCAATGACTTATTGCCAGCTTGGCTCTGCTTTAAAATGGTGCTGGGGCTGGGCAGAGGGGGTTGTCCGATGCACATCTGCTCCCACGCTTGGGTGCCTCCTGAGCTCATGGGATGGTCTCGCTCTTTGTTTCTGGGCATTTACCTCCCCCTTTTCCTCTCCCTGCGTGCTCAGTCGCAGTTCTGGGAGACTGAGTCCAGCCTGTGACTCTGTTTCTGATCCCGATCTCACAAGCTGCGCTCTGGAGAGCAGCCTCGTCTCATCCAAGCAGCCCCATGTGCGGGAAGTCATGTGAATCGTGACTGCAGGAGCAGAAGAGGCCAAGGGCTTTTTTGGCTTTCTCCTTTTTTCCTCCCCGCCCTGTCCCCAGCACTGCACCCAGGTTGTTTTTCAGCTGTGGTTTTGATAACATGTTTATATAAACATCTCGGCCGGAATCCATCTTCGTCCCTGGAGACGCTGCCTGGCTCCGACCTGGGGCAGGCGATGCCCCCCGCGGGTGCTCGCCCCATCCTCAGCCTCTTTCAGCTCCCGTAAGGGACGGCAGCAGGGATGGCACCTCGGGTGCTGGGACAGAAAGGACTTTACAGTGAGAGGGGACGTCCAACTGTTTCGACTTCCCTTAAATACCAGCTTTGGGGTTTGGCTTGGTTCTGCTGCGACGATGCTTCAGGTTTGTCCTTGTGCCCTGCCTGCGCAGGGCTCGCCTCTCCGCTCGCCTCCACTCTTAATGGGCTCCTAACATTTGGTGGTAGGAGCAAGGCAGATAATTGTTTTCCTTTTCTTATTAATAGATATAAAACGTCTGCCCAGGGGGCTCACTTTCAGCTCATTTACTGTGCATCTCATGCCAGATGTTGGCTATTTACAATACCAAGGTGATCTCTGATGCTAAAATTGTCGCAGGCAGACAAGACTTGCTCCTTGGTTTTGCACTTTAAGGAAGTTTTAGATGTTAATAGAGCTTTTTGCGATCACATGGTTTTGCAGTGGAAATCTGGAGGACTGTTTCCCTTAACACCAGGTCAAAGGGGAAATTCTGGATCTTCTCCAGAAAAATGTGAAAGGAGCGATGGGCAAGAGCTAATCCTCCCTTTGCTCTTTTAAATCCAGTGCTACCTGGATTTTACACCCAATGCTGCTTCTGGTTTAAATCCAATGCTACCTGGATCTGGGGGAAGGACATGATGAATAAATGCTTAAAATTAAAATGTCTTGCTCCTCTCATCTCACCCCTCGGTCAGGTGGCACTCTGCCATCTCTGCTATGCCTCTAACAGCCCCGTCTGTCTCCAGAGAGCGACGTTGTGCAAGTGCAGGCTCGTAAATCAGCTGCAGGCTCCTTTCTGCGGTCTCTCCCGGGGCTGTATTTCCTCCAGCCATCAGTCTGGTCAGCCTGAAGGATTTGCACGTCTCTGAGTTAGGGACAGGGGAAGGGCAGACTGAGGGTGACGATGCCGGTTTGCAGGTGGCTGGGGCTGCGCTGGCAGGTGCAAGGCTACCGGGCTATCGGATGCAACCGCTTTGGTAGCCAGCAGGCACCCTTCCCAGTGCAGAGACACCCTGGACCCACCAAGGATGCCTGTAAGAAAGTTAACCCCTTAGCTGCGTAATGCTGGCATGGATGTGCCCGCCTGAGGAGGGAGGATTTGGTTTGCATTGCGGGGGGGAAAAAGCAAGCGAGCCGAACTCCAAGCGGGCATGTAGGTCAAGGAATTGCAACGGAATAGGGCCTGGGCTGCTGAGCGACGGCACCGTCTGTATCTGTTTCTGAAGGATGGGCCGTTGGCAGGACTGTCGGCAGCAGTGCTGCGTGCTGATTCACTCTGGCAGTGCCTGGCTGCCGGCACCAGCAGCAGCAGCAGCAGCAGGAGGAGAGGGCAGGGGTGCAGCGTGGCTCCCCGGGGGCTTTGCAGGGGCTCTGCTGAGACCCAGAGCTGGGCGAGGGTTGTGGGAGCCCCCCATGCCTCGGGTGCCATTTATTTCATAAATAAGTTGCTTCACGAAAGGAACAGAAAGTGCAGGGGGAAGTGACAGAAAAAGCACCAGACGGAGGGATCTTTGTTTTTTTTTTTTTTAGTTTTAACAGCAAATTAACCCCCGGTTTTAATGCTGTCGTGCCTTCAGATCTTGAAATGTGGGCAAACGAGGCTTTCTGCTTTCTGTGCATCACTTGACAAAAATCAAACCTAGCAGTACTGAAAGCCCATTTTATTCATCTTCTGAAGGAAAGGATTATTAAAACAGCTCTTTGGCTTGTTCTCCATGCCCTGAACACCTCCATGCGCACACGCCTGCATCCCTCAAGTTGCCCTGACATCACCTTTGACCATAAAAGTACCTTGTAAGTGCAAATTACTGATGGACAATGGTGAACACCACGCGTCGCTAAAGCACACAATGTTTGTGCTACTGATCTACGGGTAGATTTGATGAGGAATGGTCTGTAGCGGGTATATTGAGCACCATGGAGGAGACATTGGGGATCCTTTGAGGTGCCCAGACTGGTTCCTGAGTCCTGGCTGGGCTCCTCAGCAATGCAGTAAGTTGCTGACTTCAGCAGGAGCAGCTTGGGCCACAGTCTTCTCTTGGCAGCTCCGGTGCATCATCTCTCGGAAACGAATGCGTGAGTCTGGGCTCCCAAGACTGCGTCCCAGAGGCTTCGGCTTTTGCCCAGCTCTTGTCTAGGGTGAGATGGGACTGATGGGCAATGCAGACGATGAGGTCTGAAAATCAGGTCCTGAAGCACTTTACTGAGTCGGGGCTGCAGGGGGTCACCTTGGTGGGGTGAGGAGCCGGGCTGGGGGTGATTTAGGAAGCCCAGCGTGAGCAGAGCCGTGCGGCTGCCTGGCCGCAGCCAGACGGCCCCGTAATGGCCAGCCAGCCCCAGTGCTTCGTTACCCTCGGCGGCTGCAAGCCGTGCTGACGACATTCGGCCTTAAGAGGAAACCGTGGTGAGTGGCTGCTCCAGGGCTCTGCAGCCCGTGTTTGAAATGCCTCCCTCCCTTTCTCCCCGCCGCCCCGGCCAGCCCCTTAAAAAAAATAGCAGCAAATCTCAAAATGCAGAGAACGGCTCGGCTGAGTGCTAGGGTCCCCTGCCGTGGGCTGCAGACCTCCCCCTGCTCTCTCCCGGTCTGCCGGTCCCATCAGGCAGGCTCTGTGCAGAGCCCCTGGCTGTCCTTGTCCTCCTAAACCCATCACTACCGCTCCAGGGCCGGCGTTGCGACCAGCCTCCTTGCATCCCCCTGCCACCTGCAGCCTCGCCACCTCCTTTCGGATGCCACCTATGAACCTTGCCTTCACGTCAGCCTCCCGCTTCTCCTTGTGTTTAAGCTGGAGTCCCGCTGCTGCCTGTGCTGCCGTTCCCGCTAACGAGGAGCTGGTGCCCAGAACTTTTCCTCTGCTCCGTCTCCCCTCCCAGGAGCGGCTCAGGCAGGACCTGGTGGGCAGGAGGTCCGGGGAACGTCCTGCTGTCCCCCTTCCCCATGCAAGATACCCTGCAGACAAGGAAGAAAAATAGCTCTCCCATAAGGAGAGAGTTTGGCCAGGGTAAATATCAGCTCCTTCCCAAAGCGATGCTGGGGGCTGGCTGCGCAGAGGTGGCACGCTGTGCCAGGGGGGTGAGCAGAGCCGCTGTGACAGCTCCTCGCTTCCCAGCTCCTGCCCAGGAGTCGCTGCCTGCCTCCGACATGCCGTCTCATTTCCCGTCCTCAGCGCCGCTGCGCTCCCAATCCATCCTCCCGAAACCTTGTCAGCTCTCAAGGAATGGTCTTTATCAGCGCCCGAGAACCAGGCAACTGGCCTCTCGCGGTCCTGCCAAGGCAGCGGGCTGCGCTCGTGATGCTATATATTTCCTTGTCATTGCTGTGAGGAGCTGAAATCAGCACTCTCACCAATTAGGAGGGCTGGGGAAAAGCAGATGAGGGGATTAAAGAAAAATAAAATCGATGCTAGGAAATAGAAATGACAGTACCTGTCAGCTGAGGCCAAGGAGGTGGGATGAAGAGGAGGATGATGAAGACAAGTGCTGATGGGTTTCACTCCCAAAGCAGTTAGGGAAGAAAGGTGATTTGGCATTGAGACCTGCAGCTGCAGGGATGGTCCCTCTGCTGCCACAAGCCTACGTTTGCTCGGGCTGGGAGGTGTGTTAACCCCCCCCACGTTTGTGCAGGGAAGGGGGTGCATGGGGTGACTCACAGGGAGAAAGCCACAGGGAGCGAGAGGCGAGTAGAAACAAGAAATGGCTTGTGGGTGTTCAGTGTTTCGGCAAAGGGAGAGGGACAGGTGGGGGACATCTAGGAGGATGTCGCCCGCCCTCCGCTTCAACACATCGAGGTGCTGTTTCTAATGCAGGAGCCCTTTTTCTTTATTGCATGGCTTTCCCATTGGCTCGCTGCCTCTTAATGCTCTTTTCTTAGTGAAATCCGTCCGTGCGGTGCGATCCCGCTGGCTGGCTCTGGGCAGGGCGGAGGTGGTGGACTTGGCAGAGGACAAGGGACAACACCAGAAAGTGCTGTGGGGCACTTTTCCTCCCACCGACTGCTCACTGCAGCCCGGTCACCCCGGCACAGAGCCAGCCCAGGCAGGGATACGTCCTTGCTGCACAAGGTTTCTAAAGCATGGGGTTGAGGACAGAAACAGAGACATCCAGTCCAGTGGTTTGAGGGCCAAAAGAGTTTTAATTTTAGCTTTACCAGTTGCTATCTTTCTTCCCGAGTGGATCGCTTGCCTCTGTGGTTTGGGTTTCTCGTCTGTGAGATGGTGATAATGGTACTTGCCTTCTCCGTGGGTGAACTAGGAGGGTTAATTAACATTTGGGTGGTGATCTGAGGATGGGGGGAGCTGTGTACACCTGAACTGTGGACACCTGGCTGGAACTGAACCCAAACCTTGATTTAAAGACAACAGTCCTTGAATGTTCTGCCTTGAAAATTGCCGTTGACGCTGCTTCTGACCTTTCCCTCCTCATGTCCCGTTTTGTAGCCCTGCTTCTGGACATCATGATTGTGGCTGGTTTGCAGAAGTTGGCCAAGCGGAAGGGCCCATACGATGTCACCCCTGGCTTGTTGGACTACCTGACCATGGACACGTATGCATTTCCAGCCGGGCACGCCAGCCGAGCAGCCATGCTCTCCAAGTTCTTCCTCAACCACCTGGTCTTGGCCATCCCTCTCCGGATCCTGCTGGTCCTCTGGGCCCTCTGCGTGGGCTTTTCCCGCGTCATGATCGGACGGCACCACATCACAGATGTCCTGTCTGGCTTTGTTTTCGGCTACTTACAGTTCAGGCTGGTGGAGTTGATGTGGATGTCTTCCAACACGTGTCAGATGTTGATATCCATCTGGTGAACATGGAGGACTCGACGCCTTTCCACTGGAAACTAGCAGATACTTTGAGTCTCCTTCCCAGTATTTTCTACATGTTGTTTGTTGGAAGCAGTTGTAACTTCCATGAGTAGTGGTGTTTTTTAATGTTGCTTCCCCACCTGAAAAAAAAAGTTTCTTGCAATGGATTGGGTTTTAGCAATCAAGGGCCATACCTGTGTTTTGGCCATATTCTCAAGCTGTGTTTGGACAGCAACCTAATTAAGCTTTACGGATGAGAGAAATGAGCTACATGTCTGCCTAGTTTGAGTGGTTCACATCGGCACCTTGATACGTCCTCGGGATGGGCAGCGCCTGAGAGCTTCCTGAGAACACATTCGTTAACTCTTTTGAGGCTAAATGATTTTGGCCACAGTGCTTTTTCTTTTTGTAAGCCCAGCAGTTGTGTCTTGTACAGAGTAAGGACACTGCTGGCACTTCACAGATAATAAATAATCACAAAAATACTGCCCTGTTTGGTTCTTATCATAAGGAAAGGGACAAAAGCCAGTTCAGTGTAGCTTTGAGATACGTGTTCAACTTGGAGCAGGTCCTTCAGTCTTGCTGAGCGAGGGGATGCAAACGATCATTTAAATGGTTTGCTTTGGATGGGGTGGACCTAGATGGGTGCTCAGGACACTGAAGGTGGCATGCTGAAGCCAGCCTTTCCTCTGCTGTTCAAAAATCTGCTCTGTGAGGGTGTGTGTGTGTGGGTGGGTCTGGTAAAGGACAAATACACGTTGCCCATTTTCATCCTAGCAGGAAGTAATTGAATAGACATTGTGCTGGATCATGGTAATTTTGCAAAGCAGGTCTAGATACACAGCAAAGAGTCTTTTTCTCTCTCTTCACGGCCATGATTTTATAATTATGCCAAATGATGCTGTAGATGGGAATTTCCCAGGTAAGTCTTGTACAGCAGTGACTGTTTTCTGGTACACCCAGCAACGTCAGTGAGCTAGAGGGCAGGGAGGCAGCGCTGCCCATACCTCCGCCTCTGCTCGCTTGGTTGTAACCTCATTCCAGAGGGAAATACTGACTGTTTCTGTGTCTCCCTCCACGTGAAGTGAGGGGAGCACTCCTGACGTTCCTCGATTGCAAGGCTGAGATAATTGATGTCTGTGAACCGATCTGAGATTACTGAGTAGAGAGTGTGATGTTCAGACATGGTGCTGTTGCTTCTCATTATTGCCGAGAGGCCACCTTGAAACCTGGCTGATCTTTACCCAGGTGATGGCCATGCTCAACATGGTGTCTCTGAAACAGATCGCCCCTCACGACTAGGAAAAGCCAATCTTTTGCACAAAACCTTCCAGTTCTCTGTGGTTTCTCTGTCTTTAGAAGAGAATTTGATATTTGGCAGGTGATGGACGCTACCAGACTCAGCACCTTCCCTGGTTGGATGCGTCCTGCAGAATGAAGGGATCCCGTCATCCCTGCCCTCCTGTCTATCCCAAGTGAGCAAAATACACCTGGCTTGCAAGGCCAGGGAGCAGCCAGCTGGGTCTTGTGCTCTCATCTATCCCTGCATGTTGGAGAGCCTCTTCCTACAGGGGCTGCTAGAGAGAAGGAGAAGACATTCAGATGATGACTGCTGCAAGCTGCTAACATTTGTTGCTCTTTGATAATTAATATGAAAAGAAGCTAAACAGAAAAATCTATCCCTGGCACGCGTCTCCAGCCAGTGCTGCCGGCTCCGAGGCTGAAGCAGAAGCGTGGTAAGGAGGGCTACCGTGTCCTTTAAAAACGAGCCTCCCACAGAGCTCCCTGGGGGTGGGCTGTGCCAGGGTCCCTTGGGAAGGGCTGTCACTGAGTATGTTCAGGAAAGAGGAGAGCTCTGGGTCTTGCCGGTTATCCCCACAGGCTGGCGGGTTGGTGCAGCATCAGGCAGAGCAGCAGGGGGGTGATCGGTGCTGCCCCACTCCCCTGCTGCTGCTTGTTCTGCGGGTGGGAGCAGAGATGTGCTGCTGCGCCTGGCCTCCATCAGGGTTTTTCTTTGCCAGTGTCCTTCTCCTGCAAAGACTTATGTGAAGAAGCAAGCTATGGTGCTTCCTCTTTCTTCCAGGCATTATTACGCTTGCCAGTTTATCCTCACCCCTAGGAAGGATGGAGGCAGGTTTCTGCAGCTCTGATGGCATGTGTATGCACTTATGTGTAGCTGGAGATGTGTACCTGAAGAAGCAGGGAGCAGGGAAAGACTTTGCCCTGATTGCTTTGTGGGAAGCTCTCACTTTGTAGCTCTAGGTTTTATTGAACCTTTGCAAATAGGCTGGATGCATCTACAGCCGTGTTGCTGGGTCCAGGTCTCCTTGCACTTGCGTTGTTTTCTGCTGGTATATCCAGGATGGCTTTGGAGGAGTTACTCTTCGTCGTTGCTGTTATAATCAGGAGAGTGTGGCCTGGAGAAGCTGCTGCGGTGGGTAACATCAGCTGAGCCGGTCTCAACCCAGTGTGTAGTTGCAAAGCAAGGCAGGAGGGCAGGGAGAGGTGAGTTGGAGTGACTCATCGGAGTGAGTTTGGGCTTGCAGGACAGGGCTCACTCCCAAACAGGGTTTCTCCTGGGACCTTCCACTTGGGCACCCCCAAAGCCTGCACCCCTCCGCTCCCCCAGTGGGTCAGTGCCCAGAGCAGGGGAGCCCCAGCACTCGCTCGCTCGCTGCAAGGAGGGTTTGGGGAGAGCCCCCACAAGGTGAGTGCGGATCTGGGCACAGATGCACCAGGAGAGACCCAGCAGAGCATTGCCTCGGCCGTACCCGGCCCTCCTGGCAAGGCAAGCGGCATGGCATCCCTCTGCCCTCTCTCCCGGCTGCCTGCCGTGCCGAAGGTACCACTCAGAAACAACCAGCATCGCTGCGTGAAAAGCAGCTTCTGTCTCTATAGCAACAGTGAGGGATGGCGGGTACCTACCCATCCTTGTCACCCAACGAGCAGGACAGGCTGTGGCTGGGTTACCTATTACCTCCCAAGGCGGAGGCAGGAGACCCCCAGCCCAGCCGCCCCTGGGGACGCAGCCGCGTGGGTGGGGGGCACGTGGGGAGCGGTGACAGGACAACCCGGCTCTTCCACCGACAAGGTACGATCTGCGGGGACTGTCCCCAGCTTTCAGGGGAAGGATGTGCTGCACTCACGGACATCTAGGACCAGATCCGGAGTGTTCTGGCTCAGAGGCAAGGAGGGCACAGCAGCATGAGGACGATCTCCCTGGGCTTTAGATCTGCGCAGATGCCATCTGCCTTCCAGCCCTCGGTTGCTGCTTGCGAGGAGGAGTGTAGATGCAGTGTGTGTGTCCCTAAACCTCTGCAGCCAGAGGAGGGTTTTTTGCCCCCTCGGAGGGTGTTAGAGGGATGGAGCTGGGTCTCAGCCCTGGCAGTGCTGCTGGACCGTGGGCTCCTACGTAACGTGCTGGAGGCATCGCCCGGTTGCACTCTCCACCGATCTCACATTTAGCGGTGGCTGTAAGAAACACCAGGGGGTCTTGCATATGCGTGTTACTTGTAAGCCAGCGGCTGGGGCCAATAATTTTTGTGCCTCATTCTCCACTCCCCTGGAGCTCGTGCTGATGCTCACACAGAGGTTTGGCCCCAGCTGTCCTGGGTGAGCCGGAGCAGGAGAGCAGGGCTGCTCTGTGCACATGCCCACCATGGCCGTGTGGCTGCGGGGAGGCAAAAGGCCAAATGGTTTGAGCTCCTTCAGGATGGCCCAGGAATGTGAATGTTTTCCCCGAACCTTCAGACCTCCAAATTGAGGCATGCAAGGCTCAGCATGAGGCTCAGGGAGGAGTGGTCCTTCCCACGCCAGGACACTTCTCCATCCCCCTGACTGGGGCACCTTCTGCCTTTCAGTTAATCTAACAGATGAATTAAGAAGATGCCCCAGAGAAGGCAAGTGCAGCGCATGGGTTTGGGGGCTGCTGCCATCAGCACTGCGTGCGTCCATGCGGCCAGGAGAGTCCCAGGCTGCAGTGGCGGTGATTTCATTTGTGATTCTGCTGCGTACAGTGAAAGGCCCCTCCTCCCCTTCCCCTAATGCTGATTATGCTTAGCAGCAAAAAGAGATTTTAATTTATTTTTTAAAAAAAAAAGGGTGCCAGGGCAAGTAGCAAATCTGGATTTATATCTTTGGGCATATGTGGGAATCACAGCTGGAGTGTTTAGTTCCCCCCTCCCCAACCTAAGCTGGTGTTTTATTCTAACAAGCTGTTTTGTACATTTGTGGCTGGGGCTGTGCTGAAATGAAGGTGGGACAAATCCCTTCCCACATGAGGGCTGTGCTGCCCTCCTTGCTGTGGGCCTGTCAAGGGGGTCCTCTCTCCCGTTCCCCAAGAAGGGGTGACTCGGGCCCCATTTCCCCCTGGGATGAAGCAGGCGATGGGGAGGGAAGCATGGGCACTGGCTGGTACCCAGAGAGCAGGTTAGCAGATTTGAGGACTCAGGGGGAATTAGGAAGGCTGTTACACAAGGTCTCCCTGCGGTAGCACAGGTGTGGCTCTAGTTCACCCCGTGCTGGGTTTTCTTGGGCAAATGCACTCCTTTTATTCACTCAGGGTATTTCTGATGGGGGTGAAAGGACCCATGGGTTTAACTGGCTCCCAGCAGCTCGGTGCAGCAGCCCCAGCTCCCGGCACAGCCCCGACACCACTCATGCAGCACCAAGCCATGCAGGACGGCCCCGGCAGCCACACACTCCCTTCCAGGGCTCAAAGGTTTCTCCCAGTTAGGAAGAATCATCTGCGTGATTTTCAGTTAAGTTTTTGTATTAAAGTGATAATTAACCATGTAGTTTCCAGGCTAAAAGTTTAATATATTGGGCAAAGCCTAGAGAAATGGGATGGTTCCTCCCTTTCGCACGCATGTACTGCAGAGGGTGCTGTCAGAGCAGATGATGCTGCACATGGAAGATGCGTGAACACAGCCGATGCCTTTTGCGTGTGTTTGATCATCTGAAATAGATTTGCGACCAGTTCCTGCCTCAGCATGGTGTGCTGCAGGCAGGGGCATGGACACGTTGGCTGCAGGGTGGGAGCAGGTGACCGAAGAGGTGTTTTTCTCTGGTGTTGACCCAAGAGTCCCTGGCTGATGTGCCTATGTTTGAATACAATGCTTGATTTAAGGGGGTGCCATGGGCTCTGCCCCCCAAGTGGGCAGGGATGGGGTTGCTTCGTTCCCTGCCTTGCTGGGACTCAAAGATCTCTGCGTTCGTTCCCCAGGATGCAAGAGTCAAAGCGGATTAAGGGTCCCTCGGCTGATCACATTTATTTCATTATTTGAATGAAATCCCTTGTAAAACCCCCCCCCCCCCCCCCCCCCGCCTTTTCTTTTTATAAAAATAGCAGGCAGAGAAGAATTCGAGATTTAGGAAAGTTAATCGCAGGAGTCCCTTGAAAACCGTTAACCTCTCGCAGCCCAAGCAGCACCCAAACCACGCTGCAGTGGGGAGATGCTGAACGGCCTGGGGGGGGACCAGCAGTTTCCCCAGCTCCCCCAAGGCAGGGTTTCCCCTGGAAAATCCCTGGTTCTTAGCAGGTGAGGCCTCTCCGTCTGGGCAGTATTATATCCACTTTGTTCACAGCTTTGCCATGATGAACCGCTAATTGTGGTGTTGGAACAAATTGGCTCAAGCGCCCAGGCGACTCCAGGGCGTTCGGCGAGTGGGGTCACGTCTCGGCAGCTGGGAAGCCCTGCGACAAATGCTGCTGGCCCCGGTGTCGCAGGCGCAGGGCCATTGGAAATGCCAATGCTCTTCCCTTTACAGTGTGGTTACTCTGAGCCTCTCCAGAGAATGGGGATGGGTCTGGGGACCTGGGGATTGCATAGGGATCTCTCCCAGTTTAAGTATTTCTAACAAATTTCTAACAGGTGGAGCTGGCTTCCTCTCCCCAGAAAGTGCCCTGTCCTTGCAGAGTCCCCATCCCTCCGATACACCCTCGCCCATGGGACCCTCTCTGACTTTCTTGCTTCTCCCAGGACCAGAAGCCTTGTGCAAGGCCATCGGCGCTGGAAAGTCAGACCTGCAGAGATTAATTAAAATAAGAGCAGTGGGAAGAGAAGCTGAGAGCTACAATGATGGATGTTTGCAAAACACTTGCCCAGAGCCTGAAGTGCTCTGGGCATTCGGTGATGTTTGCTTCCAGCCAAGGAGCTGTGCAATAGTTAAACACACTTGATGTGATCGTGATTAAGGACTCAGCCTCTGACATCTGGGTGCAGGCCCACTGCGAGGAGCTGTGATGCACCCAGCGCTGATGCCATCTCCCTGCTGGGATTTGCACCTTGGAGCTGCCAGTGCTGGTTTGTCGTGGTTTGCTTCCCCTGGCTGTGAGGGGGGTTTTATTTGCTTTAAATCCTAAACCTAAAGTTGCGTATTAATAGCATGGTAATGCATAGCCTATGTGTCTGGTGCAAGCCAGGGGTTATATAAAACACAGATTAATGGGAATCAGCAGAATAGAGGAGCATGTGGAGGGATGCAGTGAGGATGACTTGGGAGGGGAGACAGGAGGGAGCTGGAAGCTCCAGAGGGGAGAGAAGGTGGCTGAGTGGATTCAGAGTGCTTCCTGGCAGGATTTGCTCCAGTTATTGTTCTGCAGTCCCCAATTCAGGACATTTCCTGAGCCAGCGTTGCTATCATGTGGGGTCTTTTGTCCCTGGGTGATCACAAGAAGGCAGAAAGGGGTCCTGCGATTTTGACTGGAAATGGCTGCTTTTTTTTTTTTTTTTTTTAGATGACATACATAATTTCTGCACCTGTAAACACACAAACAAACCATAGACCGGAAGACAAAGTAACAAGCAGTCGTCCAAACGAAAGGCGTACTTTTCACTAGGTTGTAAATGAAACCCCCCCAACATGGCTTGTTTCCCCTCTCCCATCCCAAAAAGCAAGGTGATACTTGAGTTAAGAAAGGCTGGGGATTGTCAGAAACTCCTTCCCACTCTTGCTCCTCAGTGATCAGTGGGAGACCGGCGCTGGTTTCCAGGGACCCCACGCACAACCTAGAACAGCAGGGCCCCAGTTTTTGGCAGAGATGTTCCCTCTTGCAGACTCTTCAGCCCAAAAACATTCAAAATGCGCTGAAGGGGCAGCAGGGACACTAAACCAAACCCCTCCTTTTGCAGCTCCTTGGAACAGGGTCCGGGCAGGAGAGTTGAGCGAGAGAGGGAAAGCAACAGGTTTTTGGGCACCTGCCTCCGATCGTGACCTTCCCTGGGAGAGCACAACCATCTCGACAGCTCTCCCCTCTGCCATACGGGAAGATGCCTCCCACCCTGGGAGGAAGGCACAGCTGGACTCCAACCATCAATCACATCCCGCCGGGAAGGGCTTGTATGGGCTGTGGGATTCCTGGTGGGGTTACTTTTTTTCAAAGCCTCCTGCAATAACAGCAACTGTTGCTCAGCTTCCTTTCCAGATAACCTTTTTCCTGCTGCCCAACATGCTTATCTGCTGCAGACAGACTGGCAAGATGAACCGGAAAGCTGATACCTTATCTCTCCCTCTCAAGGAGCTTATTTAAGTGCTGGAATGTGTTGCGATGGTAAATGATTGTTAAAATCCAAGTGAGGTACATGGACCTAAGGACAGGTCCTGCTGAGAGGGAGCACCTACTCAAAAAGGAGACTTGCAGGACTACAGCCTTTCCAGGCTTTTCTGTCTTTTATCTGCCAAAAGATGCATCACCTAAACCATAAAGTGTTTGTTTAAAACCAAAAGGCATAGACTGGGTTTCTCGCTAATCTGTGGGTTAATGCTGCAGGCTGCTCCCAGCTCCATGAGGTTCACAGTGTCCCTCCGATACGGCTTTATCTGTGTCTCCGTTTACTCATTGCTGGAAATGTAGTGCTGTGGGTTGGCCTTGCAAGGGGTGCAGCGAGGGTTAACGGTCAGCATGTGATATCGCATGGCACCTATTTCTTGCTCACCCTTTAATCTGGACTTGGTGTGGGAAGCAGTAAGATGCTAACACATCCATAAAGGTAAATAGGATTTGAGAGCTATCGGGCTAATTGAAATGAACGGGGCTCGGCTGCTCAGAAGGCCTGATACAACGAAATGAGACCTCTCCGGGGACACAGAAGTCGAGCAAAGCTTCAGCACTTCACTTATTTCAGCCACTGCAAATGGCAGCTACAGCAATAGCAATTGCAGACGCCGGGGTTTGAGCACTGTGACAGCAGAGAGGCCAGGGAAAACCTGCATGGCCAGCGTGATGTCCGTAACAGCTGCTGAGGAGGGGTGAGACAGACTTATTTTGGTCCTGTCCTGGGTAAAAAAATAGGTGGCGGTGCTGGGTGCCAGCCTGGAGCACGCTGCCAGCAAAAGCAGTGGTGCTCTCCCTCCCGATAGGCAACTGTGTCCCAGTGCACCCAGGGGGTAGGATGGGGAAAAGGGGAGCAGGGCCAGGCAAAACCTCAGGGGAGCAACCCCACGCCAGTGGGTTGTGTGGCCCTAAAGAGCTCTAGGTGTGAGTGTCCGGATCCCAGCGTACAGAGCAGCGAGCAATGGGTGCTCGCGCGTGTTCAAGGGGTCCCTGCACCTCCCCTGCCCTGACAGCACCACTGAGGGCTGGGCTCAGACTTGGGGATGGCTCTTGCCGCTCCAGCTGCTCTTGCATGGTAGTTGCTAGAGAAACTGTACATTGGCAATGCACACTGCTACCACGGGCTGCTGCATCTGAAAGTTAATCTGTTCCACATCACCGACTACTTTTCCATAGCGATGCATAAGGAATTGCCATCCCAGAGCAGACCTCAGCCTGTCTGTGTGACAATGCCAAGTGCTTCAAAAGAAACGCAGGTGACCCTGTGGCAGCCAGGATGGGACAAAGCGCTTTCTGGGAGGTCTGATCCAGTTCTGTGCTAGCTACAGCTAACCCATCCCCTGAGGCTTTTCATCCCTTGCAAAACTCTTGCAATTAGAACCTGCAATGTGCGTGTTTGCAGATCCTCCAATTCTCTTTGCATCTTACAACGTCCCCGGCTCCATCCCTTTGGGTAGCAGCAGGACACCAGCCCCAGTCACAGCCTTTCTGGGGATTGCAGAGAGGACCCTGCAGGGAAGCAGGACTGACAGCAAAGCTGACGGTACTCATTTTTATCCCCACGATGTGATTTGATTATGCTGATGGGGAACGGGGCTGATATAGCCGCTACATCCTGGCAGAGCTGATCAGTGCTGGGTGTCTCTGCCTCAGCCCTCCTTGCTTAAATCCTTTAGGGCAGCTCTTGTATTTTGGGGACGTTGCAGCTCCAGTCCTCACCCTGCATCCCCGCTGGGTGCAGTGACTGCCAGGATGGGGCTGGGCTGCCCTGCGAGGCCTGAAGGCGCCCGGCTCTGGCTGCAGCCCCCAGCCAGCTTCACAGTTGTCCCTGTCAATGTAAAATGTAGGAATGGGGGGATCCATCTGAGCCGCTCGGCGTCTGTGTCTTGTGATCCTGAAACCCAAGAGCCCCCCCTGACTCAGCAGGTTATTAATAACCCCCTGGCTGTGCTCCCACCGCAGCGCCTGCCAGCCCTGGCATCGCCTGTCTCTTGTCCACGCCGAGGCGAGATGCACACCCGGGGCAAGGTCAGGGGCTCCTTCCCTCCGGCCCCTGCACCCCATCCCCACCTATGGGCCTGGGCAGAAGTAGCGTGAGGCTTGTGGAGGGGTCTGGACGGACCCTGAAGCTCCTGCACCTCCCACCAGCACAGGAGAGGCTCCTGGTGCTGTTGAACTTAGTTCATCGCACCCTTGTCCCAGGTCCTCTGTTTTCTTGTACCTAAAATCAGCCCTGGGCCAGGCTGCAAGGCAGCTGAATTGGGCTTCCTGGACCGTAGCATCACTACTGCCACCTGCCCCTTCCCCGGGCTGGGACACACTGGGTGTCCCCAGGCTGCCGCAGACCCTGGTGGTGCTTGGCCCCCCCATCCTTTTGGATAGGATGGGGTCTGCCAGCCACCAGGTTTCCGTCTGTCACTGCTGAACCTCTTCTTTGGTCACAGCCTTTGCCTTCGCCCATGATACTCTTCCCAGGATTGCGAGGGTGAAGCAGAGGAGCCACAGGTCCCTTGGAGACCCTCCAGTTACACGTGGGACCTAGGGAGAAAGAATAACACATTCAGCAAAACTGCAGCGATGATGCAATCTGGGTTTGGGCTATTCCAGGGCGAGCACACAAGCTGCAGGCAGCTTTCTGGGGGTCCCTGTGCACTTGGGGTCACTGCCAGCCCTGGGGCACACGGACCAGAGCTGCCCAGGTCTCCTCCTGTCTGGGCACAGGCTGTAGCACACCCACATCCTTGCCACATTATACAAACAACCCCGGCGCCAGGGGCCTCAGCAAAGCTGCAAGGTGATTTGGTGTGAGGGTGTGTTTACCAGGGCTGGTGCTCATTAGCCAGGTTCATTAGCACTCCCTGGGCAGGTTTTAAATAACAAAGTGGGAGCTGCCTTCTGGGTCAGTCCTGGCTATAGCTGGAGCACTGATTCCTTCCCCTTCTCTCCCTTCTGCCCCAATTCTTCCTTCTCTGCTCGCAGATCCCCACATGCTGCAGCCATCCCTACTGGGAACCCACTCTGCAACACCCTGACAGGGAGGTTGAGGCTTCACTCTCACCATTGTAAATCTCCTGGCACTAGGAGCAGTGCCCCAAACTCCTCTGACCTTCCCATCTCCCCCCAAGAAGGCTGTGTCCTCTCCAGCCATGCAGCTCACAGGTAGAGATGGAGCTCTTTGCTGAGTCCTGGGGAAGCTCCCAGAGCCCTGACAGCTCTATCCATAGTTTATTCTCCTTCATCTCCTCCATCCTTGGCCCTTCTCTCTCGCTCTCCCGCTGAGCCCAGCGTGCAGACTTGTCCCTGCTCATGTTGGGGACCAGAGCTCTGGAAGGGGACTGGAGCCAGGGAAGGGGACAGCACTGACTTCCCCACCTGTACTCTGGGCTGCCCCAGCACCTTGGCTCTGCTCAAGATGGGGCACTTCGGCTCCCCATCTTTTATGTGTCTGTCTCCATCCTGCTGTGCCCTGTTACAGGGTCACATGGATGGAAAAGGGAACTTCTCTGCAACATGGATTTATTTCATCAGTGTGGCCCATTCCCTTCTCTCTCTCTTGCTCTTTTATCCCCTTCTCCTTCCCTATTTCCCTCCCAGGGCTCTCCCCCTCTTTTCCCATCCCCTCCAGCTTTCTTGCCCCCATTTCCCATCCCCTCCTCTCCCCCCTGTCCTCCTACGTCTTTGCCCTGCAGCAGGTAAAGGGTTTTAGCCCACTGTACCAGGCAAAACCCCACTCTCACGCGGCGGAACGTCTACTCGACGCCTTGGCCTCCTCTCCGAGTACCAGTGGTACGTGTGGGACCACCACACAGCAGGTAAGCTGAGCTGTTCCCCCCCCAACACAAGCCTTTTACTCCCGGAGAGAGATGCAGGGGATGGGGCTGGCTGCTTCCAGACCCCTGCCCGCGGGGTGCAGCCTCTCGGAGCTCCCCGGGCACTGGGGAGACTGGGGCTGGAGCCGGCTCCCAGGCTGGATTTGTCGCTCCCTCTAGTGGGGACGCGGGAGGTTGTCCCCGCAGCCGCTCGGGATCCCGGGCCCGGGGGGGGCGGCCCGGAGCGGCCCCCGGGAGGAGAGCAACGTCCCGGACCTCGTTACACCCTGTGCCCCGTTATTCCCGTGGGGAGCGGTGCGTTGTGCCCCCACGCCAAGTGAAAGCCCCGTGGGAAGTTACACCCTGTGCCTTGCAGATGTTCCCGGAGGATTGACTCCCCGGCAGGGCTGGATTTTTGGGGGCTGAGGCTGTGTTTTCTTCAGCAGAGATAGTTAGCGCCCACTGAAATATTTAGGAATTGTGTTAATAATTAAAGAAGTGACTGCACTCAAAAGGGACTTCGTGTGATCTCATGAGACAGAAGGCACAAATCCAGTCATGAGAAAAACCGCTCACTAAAGTGTAGCATTATTTCATAAATTCTCCAAGAAAAGGGGAATGTTGCGACTCTGGAGATGTTCCAAACAATGGCCTTTGCTTGGGGACTCTGGAAGCGAATCCTGCAGCCCCTGCTAATTGCCAGTTACCATTTCTGTCTCTGCACGTGTGCAGGATTCGCACGCTGGCTGGGCTGTGATCATCCCATCACAGATCAAAGCCATCCTTCTCAGGGACAGCGAGAGCCTGCTTGCTTACAGCAGGGGTTGCAGTTCTACCAGAATCACTTATTCTCATCAGCTTCATTGCGTTCGGAAGCAGCTGATGGTTCCCTTTGGCGGGGTGAAGCGAGATATTTTTGAACTGTGAAACAACAGCTGTCTCACAACACATGGAGCGGAGGAATCAGATGGCTGTGATTGAAGGTTGGAACTGTGAACCCGAATGTGTCCATGAACTTACATTCCTGCCACATCTGTGGTTATTACAAGGGTTTCAAGGTAGGAAACAAAATTATGTGTTAGTTTAAATCTGGACTGAATATTAGGCATTGCAAAATCAATTGTTTTAAAGTACCTTAAAACTCCTTCAAAAAAATTTGTGGACAGTATGGATTTGCCTATCCTTGTTTTCCATTTTGGGGAGGTTTCCCCCTCTTTGTCAGTGCAGGTCTTGTGGCTAACTCCAGCCTCAAATATCTGGCTGAGTTTGTCCCCAAAGCAGGCTGTGGTTTTCATGACTGGACGTACTAGAATGAATGAAATGGCATTTTCAAAAGAGAGTGGGGTTTGTTGCTAAAATACATGGATCAGCTCTGCAGAGTTTTGTCTCTAGTGTTGTTTGGGATAATTGCTGATCTTCAGATCCGGAGTGAAATAAGATTGATACATATTTGTGTAATCCAGTGATCTGCCTATGAATTGTCATGAGTCAGGTTAATCTAACAAACACAGGCATGCGTTGCCTTTCTTAGAAATATTCCTTGTGTTTTGAGATATGCCTTCCAGGCCACTATGCCAAATAACTGGATTGTCTTATTTGTCTTGATGGTTTTTCCTAACCTATTTGAAAAAGGGGGCTTTGACAGAGCAAACAAAGGTGCTAACTACAAAAGCAGAGGCTCCTAGCAGTGTTTTTCTGTGTGTTCTGGGAAAGGTGTTGTATTGAAAAAAACAGGTCTTCCTCTGGCAAAACTTTAGTACTTGCACCTCCATCTCCCTGTTTTCTCCTCTTTTCTGAGTGTGCTGAAAACTCAGCATGTCACCAACAATCTTTGGAGTGTTTTGAAGAACACAAACTGTCACTTTGTGAGAAAGGTGCATTGTGCCGCTTGAGTTTTTCTTGAACCTCTTGCTATTTAGGCAACCAAGGCTGTGCGAGGACTTCCAAGTGAATGTAGTAAGAAAGAGTTTGGGCTTTAAAAGCTGCCCAAAGAACAGCCTTGTTAGCTTCTGAACAGCACAGCCAGAGGAAAAATCACCAAGCCAGGATGAGCAGAAGCAGTAGTCTCATTTTGCAGTTATACACAAGGAAAAACTGAAGTCATGCCTGATGAAGTGCCTTCAAAACACTTGCAGTATCAGGCAGCCGGTATTTGGTTCTCATTGCAAGCAAAGCTCAGTGCTAAAGCCAGCTGAAAGCAATTCACTTCTCATTGGAAGAATAGTTTCTTCCTTTTAATCAACTCTGTTTTAAATGATTTCCTTTTATAGTGCCTTAAATAGTCATTTTGGTTTGTCCTTCAGGCAGCCAGCATTCGCTCACGAAGAATGGCGTGGGACTGCAGACTTTAAAAGGACAAACAATAGTCTGGCAAACAGAAATGCTTCAATGGCATCTTGTTTTTATACAGAGCCTGCAACTCCCAAGGGCTGCAAAGGAATAAAGAAAAAGAACAGCCTCTACCTGATGCAGCAGCTACGAGGAGCAATAACTAACTGCTTGAATCTGCTCTCATCTGGGAAATTGGGGGCAGGGGGGAATAGCAGATAAGGCCACAGCAGGGGGCACCCAGTCTCCCCTGCAGTAGGAAGGAACTGGAGTTGGTGGCTTTGTCCTGCCTCGATGGTGAGATTTGGCAGAGAGCGAGAATGGGTCCATCTTAACTAAAGCATGTTTTTTCACACCCACCTGTAAAGTGAATCTTTGTACATGGTTCAGCAATCTCAAGGCCAGAGATGGATTTGATACCCTGTGAACTGCTCAGCTATTCAACAAATCCTGGGAAAAAAAACTAAGACTCTACAAACTGACTCTGAAAGCAGAGCTATCATAAGTGCATTGCAAGATGCAAGATACTTAAAGCAGATGCACAGAAGGGACCATGCCATGAGTTTAGTGCGAGTTAAGAGTGAACGTAGCGTTGCAGTCTTTGCTTTCCCTGATCGCATTTAACCCAGTTTGGAGTAAAGGCCAAAACTCCTGGGTTTTCATACTCTTTTCCCATTCCCAGTATTTCATGCTCTATTTCAGCTTAGAGAGGTGCGAGGCTTCAGCTTCCTGTGTTATTAGAACACCTCTTTATTCTTCTTAACAAGTTTATGAAAACATCTCTATTGATATGAGGCCTTAAATAAAAAGGTGTCCTGGTTGTGGCTGGGATAGAGTTAAATGTCTTCCTAGTAGCTGATACAGTGCTATGTTTTGGATTCAGTATGAGAAGAATGTTGATAACACACTGATGTTTTCAGTTGTTACTAAGTAGGGTTTATACTAAGTCAAGGATTTTTCAGCTTCTTGTGCCCAGCTGGCAAGAAGGCTGGAGGGGCACAAGGACTTGGGAGGGGACACAGCCAGGACAGCTGACCTGAACTGGCTGAAGGAACACTCCATACCATGTGACGTCATGCCCAGTGTATAAACTGGGGGGAGTTGGCCTGGGAGAGATTGCTGCTTGGGAACTAACTGGGCATCAGTCGGTGAGTGGTGAGCAATTGCATTGTGCATCACTTGTTTTGTATATTCCAATCCTTTTATTATTATTGTCATTTTGTTATTGTTATTACTATCATTATTAGTTTCTTCCTTTCTGTTCTATTAAACTGTTCTTATCTCATCCCATAAGTTTTACCTTTTTCCTTCTGATTCTCTCCCCCATCCCACTGGGTGGGGGGAAATGAGTGAGCGGCTGTGTGGTGCTTAGTTGCTGGCTGGGGTTAAACCACGAGTGAGGGGAAAAAAATAAACCTTTTATATTTGAGACCCAATGTCCCTTTGTTCTGTTTGAGGTCTAGCTTTCAAAGCATTTCCGTATATTTGTATAACACAGCATTGTACATGGGATTACAGAGAACTGCCAGAGCTACTCATGTCTTCTCTCCCACCTCTCACATATGACAGCTCAACTCTATTGATGTTCTTGCTGACTGGGTTGTGGGTCCTAACGCCCTGTTCGCTTAGTTGCGGGCTTGAATTTCCCTGTAGTTCTCTCATCTGAGCTAATGAAGTCAGTGCAGGCACGAGGCATTCTTGATTTAGACAGAAGTGAATGTGAAATGGATTTTCACACTTCAGGGCATAAACCAGCTCCTACCTCTTGGGATTAGAAACCACAGTCTCCTGTGGACAGGTTACTCCACAACTGTCCACCACGTATTTCTTCTGTAGCAGGTGATGTTGGCTGCTGTCTGAGACAGATGGAAAACTAGAAGGACTGTGACCTGACCTGGTAAGGTAAATGTGTACTTTGTGTGTGCTGAATGGCCTCTGGATGGGGATTGCTTTGCTTTTTCCAAAGGGATTGTGGAGTTTTGTGAATGACTGCAATGGCAGAAAGGCCCTGTCTTGCGCTGCAGGCTGCCATTTACAGCTGAGCAAAGTGATACCAAAATGGCACAGCAGCATTTAGCCTTCAGTTTGCTCCACTGTAAATCACGCTGCATGATGCCAGCCATGGTCAGGGATGACCATGATAGATAGATCGGAGCAAATTTTTGTAGAAGCTGTAGAATATAGTAGTAATTCTGTACTTTCTAGGAAGCCTTAGACCACAAGACATTTCTTTAGATGCAAATTCTATACTAGGGCTGTAAGCCCTCTTCAATGGTTATTTTCTGTTTGACAGGATTCTTCATTAGTGGAGGGATGAAGCACACAGCAGGGTTTCTGCTCTCACCTGTAATTAATCCTGGGAAGAGGAAGCAGGACTCTTCCTGCTGCAAGAGAGTTTGACACTCTTGTCCAGGGAATAATTTGCCAAGCTCTCTGGAACAGGTCAAAAATCAGAGTGGGTGAGCAGTCCTTCCAGAATGGATCCTGTGTAGAGCTGTGCATTGAACTTTATCCAACTGAAACCTGTTCATCAGTCTCTGCGCAAATCTCTTCTTGCTGTTGACACTCCTCCCTCACAGACTGTTGCAGGTCTAATCCCACCAGCTCTCAGCCTACACCAGTTGTTTTGGTTTATACACAGGCAGGTGAAAGCTGGTGCAGATCTTTTGAAGAACAGCACAGGAATTCATCACCTCATGCCAAGGTCTAATGGTGTCCCTGTGGAGCAGGATGTAGTGGAGCCATGCTCTTCCCTTTGGTGGTAGGGACAGACTATGTCCTTTCACTGTTCAGATTGTGCCCAGCTTTGAACAGTGAGGGCAAGAGAAGGCCAACCCCAACACAGTCCTGAGCCATGAGACTTGCAAAGCTCCATAGAGTTGGCCTTGGTGCGCTGCTGGGCACAGGTGGAAAAGCCATGAATTTGTGGGGGCTGCAGTGTACACACCTGGTAATGAGTGTAGAATTGTCTTTCATTTGTTTAGTTTGGCCTTTTGATCTCCACAACAGGTTGCATTAGTTTTTTCTTTAATTGGCACATCTGTTCCCTTGGCCTTGGATTGTTGCCTTGGAGATGCACAAGAGACCTTCAGAGAACTGCTTATTACAGCAGCAGGTGTGCATAATGCTGACCTGGACAAGCCTGCATGAGTCACCTGCTAATCGTGTAGGTTGTAGGTGGCTGCATGAATCATTGAAAGTGAGGGGATCCCACACTGCCCGATCTCCCAAAGGGCAACATTAATGCCTTTGGGTGCTGCTTGTTACTGTGCATCAACAGCATATAGTACACGACAGTTCACTCTCCTCTTCCTCCTCAGCTGACATAGGCTGTGAAACAGCATGGTGCTGCAGAGTAGGGTGGCTGAATGTGAAAAGCTGCAGCCCAAATCAGAAGCACTCTTTGGAAATCTGGCTCACCTGTAGCTTCTCACATGGAGGACAACGAGGTTTGTATGGGCAGGAAGCAAGTTAGAAGAGCTATTTGTATTTGTGTCTGTGTGCGCTTGTGTGTACTTGTCTGACTGATGGAGAAAGAAAAACCAAACACACCAGACTAATGCCCCAGCTGCCCTGTGAGTCGGTGTGAGTGGGAGTTTGCTAATGCGAGGGAGGAGGGTGGGCTCCTCTGTGCGAGAGGCTATAAGGAGAGAAGTGGAGGGCATTGGCTTGCTGTCTCTAGACAGAAAAAAACTGCTGCAGGAAAGATGAGACAAGACACCAAAGGGGC